AAACTCCCCAGCACATTTCTGGTATCGTGTTTTTCACTCCCAGCAAAAAATAATCTTCAGCCTTTTGCGTGGGGAAGAGAGGAACAATTTTCTCAGTAGCTTCTCCTTCCTTTAAAATATCTACATATCTTGGTTGTGTCATTTCCGTTCCCAAGACACCTAATCACTCCCTCCCACTTCTCTGATTATGCACTGCAGAGCAATTGAGTAATCAGATACTTAATTAAATAGCCACACGTCTTTGTTATACCCTTTAATTAGATTACTTGGAAATAATAATAGCTTCTCACCAACCTGAAGGGTTCGTTAATTCCTTCTGCAGATAACAGGAAGTAATTTATCTTTTCCTACTGATATTTTTCTAAATCCCAAGTCAAATGAATCAATTCTGATTTAAAGTCAATTAGAAAGAGATGCACTCTGACACTACACTGGTATCTTCATGAGTGGAGTAATGAATTCAGACTCTCATAACAAGGCAGCGCGACAAAATTTCTCCTTTCAGAGATGACAATTTCAGGACAAGAAGTCTGATTATAAAATATAAAGCACTTCCTGCAATAATTACTCAGATAACAAAACACTCCAGAAGACTTCTTTATAAGAATAAGACTATATAGTATTTATAAAACGCTTTGACATCCAGTAAAGAGAAGTGATGTGAAAACAAAATACTCCTGCGTTTCTAAATCACCAACTTTACACAGCCTTAAGTCAGACAGAAGCATTAAGCCACTGTTAAAGACTGAAAATCACTCAGGAGCTAATGGGTGCTGATGACACCTGATGACTGTTGCACAGTCATTGTGTGATCCTTGCTCGGGGCTGTGTCTGTCCCAAAGCAGGTAAACATCCACACTCCCCAAACTGCCTCCGTGGAGGGATGGTCACTGTGGTCTCCTCAGTACCAGGACCAGCTTTACGTTGTCAAGTTATACAGTGACAGGGACTGAGGTCCAACGGGAAGGTGGAGAAACCTCTCGGGAAACCAAGCAAAGGCAAATACAAGGGGTGAAATTCCAAACAGACACATGCAGAAAAAAATCAATCTATGGGTCATCAAGCACTTGACCAGGGCATGAAGAGGCTGTGGGATCTCCATCCTTGAAGGTCTTTGTCTCTCAGCTGTGCAACCTTATCTAAGCTGGTTCTGGTTGAAGACCAAGAGGCCACCATGGGTTCCTTCCTACCTGAATTGTTTTGTATTTGTGTGGTGCTGACAGGATTTTTGTGTGCTTCACTAAAATAAATAAAATAGAAAACATCAAACACTTGTCAAGGAGAAAGAAATGCAGTTCTGTTTCCAATTCTGACAGCAACTTGCTGGACAACCTTTAGGAAATCATGTAATGTTGGAAAGAAGAGCTTTGTCGTGTGTGAGGTCAGTGGAGTTGGCTGAGAGTGGAAAAAGGGAGAGAATTGTGAGAAACAGAGTCTCAGAATAAAATAATTTTTCAAATTAGAATTTATTATATAGTAGAAGCAAGCAGGTCTGGGTGGCAGTGGGGTCCTGCTCCTAGACTTGCCACTCTGATACAGTTTGTGTGCCTGATATTTATTTCAAACATCCCATACGTATTCATTACATCACAAACATACACATTTTACATCACTATTCCAGGTATTCAACATATGTTTATTTTTAGAACTAAGACTAATTTGTTATCTCTACGGCAAGTTATAAATTCATATGTTCTTTGACAAAAGGCGCCAGCAGGCTACTGACTCGACCTGGTTTGGACATAATTCCTGGCTAGGAGGACAGGGGAGGTGATGGTCTGTTTTATGTCTTTATGAGGGTGTAATTAAGTTTTACAATCCGTTTGTTTTTCTTCTTTCCTGAGGTTACATTAACCCATTTGTTTCCCATTTGTTTCCTTTGCTGACACGAATTAGGACTTGTGTTTATTACAGAATGAAGGCAGGGCCTAATTCAGGAGAGAGGATCCCATACTCTGGGAATAGTAGAATAATAAGTGTGTTCAGTGCTTCTCTTGTCTCAGCCCTTTAGGTGAGGGAGCCCAGAGCTTTGAGGTATCAGAGAGCAATCTCCATTTGCAGACTTCTGCTCAAAAAATCTGTCAGAATCACAACATTTTAATGATCTTGCAGGGGTTTTTTTATTACCACATGGAAGATTCAAACATGGAAGCGATTTATACAACTCTGCCACACAAATCCTTGTCCTCAGTGGTTTCCCAGTCAGGTCCCAACAGCACTCACTGATGTGCCAGTTCTGGCTGCAACAACTGGATAAGATTTCATCAGGGATTTGAATATTATTATTATTTACCACAGCCCAAGTGAGAATAAATACTACACATATTTTGCCACAAGAAACAATCTCTGTCCCACTGACCAGTCTGGATCGGACTGAGAGAGGCAGGTAAAATACTATGAAAATTATAACATATTATCTTTAAAAAAATTAACTCCCAGAAGCACAGATTCATCCTATCAAACCTGGCAAATCTGAAAGCCTATAAAGCATTCACAGTTTTCCTAAATAGTCTTTGTACAAGATTATCCTAAACAACTGTGGCAAACTGCACCAATTTCTTGGGGTTCTTACTAATCAAAAGAAAGTTATGACAGGGGATAGCAAGAAAATTCCATCCTGCCTGGGTATCTTGCAGTTATAAAAAGTACAGGGAAAAAAGAAAATAATCAAGCATTCTCCTCCTTTCCCCAAAGTAAAATTTTGGACACATAGCTCTTCTACCACTCAATTATATTCATCTTTGTTTGTAATGTATTCTATGTTAATTATTTATTTGCTGTTCCAGTTCACTGACAGGCCATGATTTTTTACAGGGAAAATGATCTCTGAAACAGTGTGAATGTGAGGATTGTTCCACGTTCCTTTTGTCCTGGCAAACGCAAACTGATCAGTAGTCTGTGCACCTGGAATACATTCTTTTTCTCATGAATTTTGGAGAGCAGATGGCGCCAGTGGAACTTGACTGGAGGCATCAGAAGCTGAAAAACAAAGAGATTAGGGCTTCTGGGGTTTAACAGCAATCACTTTTCTGAAGTGCTGGTTGGGAAGAGGAGGGGAAAAATTATTACAGAGAGGCCAACTGATGTAGTGTCCTTGAAAAGAGACACTGAGTGTTATTCACCTCTGCTGGGAGACAACAAATCCAGCAGAGAGGAAGCCCAGCTGTGCATATGTGGAGCTCCAGCTGCAGTCAGAGCCTCATTGTCCAGGACAGGAATTGGTATCACAACACTGGACGAGAGACAACTGTTTATTTAGGTGATGCATGAGACAGAAATCTCTGTTAATTTTTATCATCATTAATTTGAATAGACCATTAACTATTGGAACTGTATGCTGTCAAATATTTCTAAAGGAACATAAAGACTTAAAGGTGCATAGAAAAGCCTTAGAGGAAAAAAAAAAAAAAAAGAAAAGAAAGAAACACCTCAAGAACTTATTTCGGCTCTTCGAGTTGTTTGTTCTCATATAGGGCTGTAACCTTGGCTCCAAACTTGCTTCCCAGGGACTTGCACCTCTCTGACAAAGCCACACACCTGACTTTTCCATACCCCCAGGCTCTGGCTGAGCAGCACCTGTTGTTCTGTGCTGAAATTCAAGTGATTTCTGTGCTGGAAGTGATGTGCACATGTGCCTTGGTCAGTTGTAACCACAAATGGTTGATTGGCATCGAGACATGTGTTGGTCTCTTGGGGGAAACAACTGGAGCTGTTCTCTTGAATCAGCAGAAACACTTAATTGTAGCTGTGACATCTTATTGGAGGTTATGTGTGGAAGGCATGATGGATTTTCACATCCCTACCAGTTGTAAGAAAATGCTAAACTTTGCTCTTGCAAAGAATGTAATTTTTCCTGAAGAATTATTGAGGATATTCTCCCACTCTCCGAAAATTAAGGAGTCTTTTATCTGTTTTCAGTGCATGGAAACTGAACTCTCTCATTCCTCATTGTCAAAAGAGGAGATGTATTTTAATTTCTATGCGTTCACTTATGCAAAAATGCATTTGGGTCAAGAAAAAATACGATGAAAACAAGAAAGGTGTTACATAAAAGCTTAATAGTATCAATAGCTGAAGTATCTGAAGTGGATACCTTAAACAGCAAAACCTTCACTGTGTGTCCCAGAGCCCTCACTGCCACCAGGGATGCTCCAGCTGCTTGGCAGTCAGAAACTCCTGTCACCCAGGACATCCCTTTGTGCTCTGGGAGAATTCCAGTCATAACTGTCACTGCAGTACCTGGTGCCAGGGATGGCCGTGGGTTCCTCAAGGTGTTCCTGCGCCAGCCCAGCCCACAGCGGTGCTTTGGTCAGCAGTGATTTTTACTGCTGTGTGTGTGTGCATATACATATATATGTATATGTGTATATACTCTGTGTGTGCATATAGAGTCACAAATCACAGAGTGGTTTGGGCTGGAAGGGACCTCAAAGCTCATCCAGTCCCTCCCCTGCCATGGGCAGGGACACCTTCCACTAGCCCAGGTTGCTCCAAGCCCCATCCGACCTGGCCTTGGAGAATTCCAGGGATCCAGGGGCAGCCACAGCTTCTCTGGGCAACCTGTGCCAGGGCCTCCCCACCCTCACAACCAAGAATTCCTTCCCAAAATCCCAAGAATTCCTTCCCAAAATCCCATCTAACCCTGCCCTCTGGCAGTGGGAAGCCATTCCCCCTTGTCCTGTCCCTCCAGCCCTTGTCTCTCTCCAGCTCTCTTGGAGCACCTTCAGGGACTGGAAGGGTCCCTAAGGTCTCCTGGAGCTTTCTCGTGCCCAGGCTGTCCTCCCCACCTCTCCCCGCCGCCTCCACAGGTCATGGATGCCGAGGACACGCTGGATACCAATGGATACCAGGGGATATCCCGGCCCCTCCCGGCCCGCACCGAGCATGCGCGGCGCCTGTCGCGGGGCACGCCGGGAGCTGTAGTCCCTGCGGGCCGCCGGGGGGGGAAGTCCGCGCCTGCGCAGGTGGCGGCCGACTTTGCCAAGTGCCTGTGGGAGGCCGGGCGGGCCGCGCTGCCATCTTGGAGCGAGGGACGGCGGAGCCGCGGCCGCGCCGGTGAGCGGAGCGGGCCGGGGGGTCGGGGAGGGGGGTACACGGGCCCCTGCGGGCGGCGAGGGGACACACGGGGAGCGCGGGGCCGCTACAGGCGGGCCCGCTACAGGCGGGCCCGGGCGCGGAGGGGCCGCTCGCCCCGGGAGGGGCTCGCTGAGGGCGGTCCCGCCGCCCGGGGCAGCAGCGGGGGCAGCAGCGGGCCCTCCCCGCGGGTCCCGGGACCCCCGCACTGCCCGGCCCCGCCGCCTCCTCCCCGCTCGGTGCCGGCGGCACCTCCGGTCCCGTCCCCGGCGGTGCCGCGTCCCTGCCCGGCCTGTCCCGCCGGCCTGTCCCGCCCGTGTGTCCCGCCCGTGTCGCCGGGAGCTGCCCCTGAACCTTCGGCCTGCCGGGGACTCGCTGCCCACAGGGCTGTGCCCTCCGCAGCCCTGCCGGCACAGCCGCCTTCCCCCGGGTGTGTCCCCCCTGTCCCGGGGCTCCCTCCCGGGGTTCGGGGGCTCGGTGCCCGTGTGCCGGCCGGGCACAGCCGTGCCGTGCAGGAATGTTCCCCGGCAGTAAAGCCCGGCTGCAGCCAGAGGTTTGTCCCGAGCCGTGTTCCCTCTTGTAAACACGGCGGAATGGCAACGCTGGTGCCACCGCTCTGTTTTGGAAACAGGGACAAGTTCTGGCTGTTAACCCTCCCGCTCCCGACCGGGCTGTCTGTGACCTTGTGTGCCGGTAGCGTACAGATAAAGCAGACGATGATGTCTGAGGGTGCGTTTGTCCAATTTGCTCAGATATCCAAGAATTCAGCTTGTTTTAATAGCTGTCATTTGTGGTGTCAAACAGGCAGAGGAACTCCCGATCTGTGTGTGGTGCAGAGAGAGGCAGGTGTAGCATTTGGGGGGTGTGTTGTGTGCCATCCTTTACCCTTGACGCTTCGGGAGACATCCCCAGCACAACTTATCTCTTTGGCTTAGAGTTGAAGAGCTCAGAAACCAGGACATTTTAGGCTATCCTTTCCCAATATATTACTGCTTATTTTAGTAAGTTTGTCATTGTTTGGTCTCTGCTACCCTGCCACTCAACCTTTTCAAAGAGAAAAGGAGAGAGATCTGGGCTGCTGTTTGTAAAAAGACATTTTACATGTGGAGAGACAGTACATCCAGCTATTGCTTGTATTTACCTGAGAAAAGGTGCAGGCATTTAAGAGCAAAACATGATCTGCAAGCTGTCTTTGGTTCTGAGGATTTTAATGCTTAAAAAAATCTTGTTTGAAAAAAAATTAATTCTTTTCTATCTTCTTGAAGCAGAGGCCCAAAACAGTTCTAATTTAAATACAGTTAGATTGCTATTCACTACAGCTGTTTAAATCTGAGCTTGCTCTGGTGTGCATTCTGAGTTATGATTTAGGGGACATTAATCATTACACTGAATGCTTTCACCTCCAAGTGATCACTGGAATAATATGTAGCATTCTGATCCAAACTGGGTTTTCTTGTCTTTAAAACAAGAGCTGATACAGTACATGTGAAAGATGATGTTGCAGTGGAAAATAACTGAGACTTCTGAGAGCTAACTTTGAAAGCTTCTTACAGATTAAAGTTATTTTGGGGCTTAAGAGAGATTGAGAGAAGATTATTTATATGAATTTATTGGTTAAGGAGCATCACCTCTTTTTCTTCCCTCAATTTACTCTCCCTTGCTGAAGTTCTGTTTCTTCTATGGTGGAACAGACCTGAAACATGAAGTTTCTTTGTTTCTACATTTCAAATGGTTTGGAGAAGTTAACTACAGAATAAATAAGCTCATAGGAAGACAGGTAGTAAAGTAGTGTGATTCTCTTGTAGAGTTTGAATTAATCATTGTTTCTAGGAGAGCGTGCCTTAGACTGCTTGAAAAATAGGTTTCATTTTCTCCTATTTTACAGTAGATGCAATAGATATTGTTTTTCAACAGCATTATCAGTCAGTGATAGCCTCAACATCTTTTTTGAGTTTAAGCTGTTTAAACAAATTGGTAAATGTATTCAACCATACTGAAGTACTTTTCATGTAGCAAAACCAATTTAATTTCTGCTTAAAAGCAAGGAAAGGAAGCTGCAGGGTTAGAGAGAAGAAACAACCCATACACATGGTAATGGTGAAGCTTCTGGGAGTGCTGTAACGGGTGGAGTTTATTTGTAAGCCCTTTTGCTTGGTTGTCCAGTTATGCTCATGTCATGTTCCAGTTTTTATCACTGTGCTGTACTGAGGTGTAACTGTGGGAACTGCTTTGTGCCCTCACACCCGAGGAAAGTGAACCCTGTGCAGAACCCAGAGCAGGGCTGGCCTCAGTTCCTCGCTGTAACTGCACTTTGCCCAGCTGCAGGAGCCCTGTGAAGTGTGTGCTCGCCTCAGAAGAGGAAGTAGACAAGCCATGATTATGGTTTAACTTGGGAGGATTCTGTTTTTCTAGTTATTTGCTTTTTACTGTCTCGTAAACTGAGTATTTTTAAAGGCTTTAGGTAGTCCTTCTTGGGTTTGGTTGGACTGTTACCTGAGCTAATTCTCTGTGCAGGTTTTGGAGAGGGAAAGGCAGTTGTTGCTCTTCATCCCTCTCCTCTGAGGAATAAAGCAAGAGAGATTTGGGCATTTTCTGTAAGTGACTGGTGTCGGGTTTTACTGTAGTGCAGTTGCTGGAGCTGAAGGACTGATCTTTTTCTTCATAAGTATTGCAAATTACTTTAATTTCTATTAAGTGATTAAGTGTATTGCAACAAACTGGGAAAAAGCAGTTTAAAGAAGCCAAGGCCCTGTTTCATATGAGCAGCTCTCGAGTCATGCCTGGAATTTCTCCTTTTACTATACCAAAGCCTGGCAGGTTTGTTCCCCGCTCTGAGGGAACACGAGACCAGATCTTGTTGCACTGGTAATTCAAATAATTTTTTCATACTTGGCAGCATGTTGCTGTTCTTTTTTTTTTTTTTTTGTTAAAGTTTCATTACAGTCCTTCCATTTAGGAACTGATAATTCCTGCCTTCCACCCACCTGCCTGAGCTATTCTCAACTCTGCTGCTGGGAGAGGCACAGAACTACTGCCATGTTTGCATCTGCATCATTGATTCTGAACTTGGAGCTCACACTCAAATGCTGAGCAAGAAAAGGTCCATTCTCTTCTGGGGGATTGTTAAAGTTTTTTTGGGTGGAACCTTGTTTCTAATCCAAAAGTGAAAGTTGAGTGACTTTCCTTTACTTGAAATGTGCAGACCTCGGGTTCTGGGTTTGGTAGGTGGTGATGGGGGAGCTGGAGTTTCAAGAGGAATGTGTCAATATGAGCCTCTATAAAGTCTTCTGTTCTTTATAGATCTAACTTCTTGTCAAGAGTACCCTTCAGGCATACTAAGTGTTAGCTGGATACCTGGTAATCTTTTTGAAGTTTATTACTAAGGAAAAGGAAGATCAGGTAAAGTTTAAAGTGGTCTTGAAATAGAAGAAGACATGATAAGACAGGCCTGTAATCTGGTTCTGATTTACTCATTAATTCGTCAAGTGGATAGCCATTTGCAGGGAAATATCCATCAAGAATATAATGTTTGTGACTGGGAACATGTTCCTTTACTGAAAAACAAAACAGGCTCTTTGATTCTCTGAGTTTCATGTGATTGGGGTGGAACTTTTGCCTGGGCAAGTCATTGATAACTTACTGCCCTAGTTAGCTTTGCATGTCCTGTACGATGGGAAAAGCAAAGGAAGGGTTGTTGCTGAGCAAGCTGAAGAGATGGACTGAGACACAGAAGAGTGGATTTGTGTTAATTTTTAACATGCTTTTGGTCAGCATCCATCCTTCGTGCCTGTTCCAGTCCCCAGTGCTAGCTGTCTTTTAATTATGTGTTAATAAGCATTGCTCTTGCTTAACTCTTAGAGTGCTCAGATATCCAAATTGTTATTTCTCTCCTGCTGGTTTCATAAACACTTGAATGGATTAAGACCTGTTGCTCTGAATACTCCATTTGTTCTTTTCTGACACCTTGATTTTTTGTTCTTCCAGTGCCATGAGCTGCTGCTCTTTTGATGGAGTGAGATTTTCTGTATAAGGATTCCTCATCTTTAAAGTTTATTTGCTTTGGCTTGTCAGAGCCTGAATTAACTGATTATTGGATCATTTGGATTAATTTTTCTTGGTAGGACTTGCCTCTCTAAGTGCATATACCTTGTGTGTTTATGTGTGTGTTTATTTCCTACTGCTGGAAGTATGTGACTTCAGGGACTAGATAACGGATGTGCTGGGCAATATATCAACATGTTCACACGATGATAATGTGTTTGGCCTAATCTTTAACCAGGCTTGCTATCCTCTGGGAAAGTGTGGCATATTTTCACCAGCTTTTACCTGAACAGCCTTTCCTCTCCATTCGAGACCTCCTGGGCAACCCTGCATGTGCAGGTTTATAAACTGAGAGAAAAGAAAATATGTGAGCTTAGAAAATGAAAAAGCATCAGAGTGACACTGACTTGCTTTTCGTCTCAGGATCCCAGAGTGGTTTGGGTTGGAAGGGACATTAAAGATACCAGTTCAAAGATCACAAAGCTGCTTTGGTTCTTAAATGTCTGTGATTGACCCAGTGCACATGTTGTCATCAATAATGAAGTCTTGAAAGCAGCTTCTTATTCCAGCTGTTTGAAGGGGAATAATGTGTATGATGCTTACAGGAAAGAGGAGGGAAGTGTTGAAGGTTTAGTAAAGCACTCTGACCACCTCACTCTATGTTGAAAAAGTTTCCAAACTAAACCTATCTATCCAGACTAAATAGCTGTCACCTGCCTTTTCAGGTGAATACTGGCCACGTGTAACATTTCTAATTCCATTTAAGTGTTCATCACCTAAGGACACAGAGGAGGAGTTAGAATCCAGGGGCAGTACTTCTGCAGGTAATTGGCATGTTCCCTTTTGTGCATGTCAAATTGAGTTTGTCACTAAGATAACAGAATCCTTTTTGCCTTTTGCAAGCATGGCATTTGCTGTATATTAAAGTGACCAATTTCTAG